TTACCTCCAATTTTTTTTCACTACATTTCCTTCATATAACTATACTATGGTAATAAGTGGGGGGCCAACAATCCTTTCAATGAACATTTACTATAGTAAAGATAATGTTGGAGAAAAAAGTTGGGGGGGGGGGCAGCCCCCCCCCGCCTGTTGCTACGTCTCTGAATAATGCATTTTCACTATATACTTATTTAGCCCCGCCCTAACACCAGAACCCCTGACCCTGGGGCCATAAAATTCACAATTTTGGTAGAGGACTCAATATTGATTACAATCATGCAAACAGTTTGACTGCTTGATGTCCTGGAGTAAAGAAGAAGATTTCTGACGATTGCATTAATTTTAGTGGTTTTTGCCCCACCCCCAGGCCCCAGGCGAGCAGGGACCATGAAATTCACAATTTCGGTTACCCTTCACCAATAGATGCTTTGTGCCAAATTGGTTTAAATTGGTTCAGTGGTTCCAGAGAAGAAGCTGAAAATGTTCAAATGTTAACGAACAACGCACGACGACGGACGAAAACAGATAGCAATAGGTCACCTGAGTGACCTAAAAAGGTATTGGCAGTATAAAAGAGATGAAAACAACACCAATTTAAGTATATGCATTTGACTTTATTTTGCGACTCCCCCTGCGATGTGCTTTCCCATTAACGACTCCCCCCTACGTAACCGTTACTGTCTGAAGAGAAAATGTCTTAATTATCAATTTTTATAAAGTCTAGTTAAGTTTAAGTTGTTGCATTTAAAAGATAAACGTTTTCACTCGCTGTTTTAAATGTGAGAATCCCTACGCAAGCCGTAGATTGTGCAAATCATGCATGTTTTTACCACCCGATCAACGTAAATATGAAAACTGTCAAATAGTTTCAAAGTGTTTGAGAAAACTAGACGTATATGATAGCCGGACAAATGACCACGATAAAGCTTAACTATTGCCATCTTCCGTGGGATATTTGTTTTTTGTAAATACATCTTATATATACCGAAAAAAGACGTGACCCACATCTCCTCTGACTCCGAAGCGGTGAAAATCTACTCCCCCATACGTTGAAAACGACTCCCCCATACTTTTTAGCGACTCCCCCGCGTTACCCGTTGTATACGGTGTATATACTACCTGCTAAAACTATGTACACGTATATCAAGCGAAAAAAAAACTCAATGTTTTATCGACACGATAGCACCTACGTCTCTTTGAACAATGGGGTTAGGCTGATGTATTATAAGTTGATATAAGGCTTCATATAGCAAATTTTGTAAATGTGAGTATAGAAATAAAAGATTATACATAATTTTAAATATTTCTTTCACAAATCTCAAAAAAGAATCAACTAGAACTGTCCAATTGGGACAAATACCCCCCGCTGGGTTTTTCAGAGAAGGTGCCAATTCAAAAATACTTTATGGATCTAGAGGTGTTCACAATTTACTTACAAAAATTTGCAGTGAAATATAATTGCTCATCATGTTTCTTAATGAATGAAACAAATGTGCAACCAAATGAAACATCAATACTAATACATTGTAATTCCATTGTAACATTTTTTTTTTAATTTTTTCATTTTATTTTTTTTATCACTGCATTAAAAAAATATATTGCAATTATGTGTTATGTCACTCTGCAAACTGATTGTTGAAAAAAAACCATTATACAAAATCAAATTAATCTTGATATATCAATTTGAAATGCATTTTGAAAATAAAGAGCTGGTCATCCAGTAATGAAGTGCTTTGACAGACAATAAATTACAATTAAGAGAATAAGAGAAGAGAGATCTTTAATTCTTGTGCCTTATTCCCTGGAGACACATGCTTGATAAGAGATATGCCTTAACAACTTCCAACACCAAACTCATTAATTTATCTTTAACTGGATGCATGTCCAGTCATTATTCCCAAGAGACAAATGAAATTACATTATCTTCTGTGCAATGTAAAAACTGTTTTTAACACTTGATGATGTTTCTTTTTTTAAGTTTTTATGAGTAGTTTAAAGCTGTAGTATTTTTGAACAGATATTCTAGATTCTACATCTCAAACCTTATACATGAGCCCAAAATGAACAAGTCAATTAAAATAAAAAATAAAACCTGTAAAATGCAAAAAAATTAACAAAAACAGTTGAAAATTTCAGGTGCACACCTTCATATGGTGAATAATAAGTGTTCAAATTTTCAGATTAATCCTTGCAATAGTTTCTGAGAAACGGTCCAGACAAAACCACAAAATAAAAATGAAAAAACACCTGTAAAATTCAAATAATAATCTAATCAAGATGAAAATATCAGGTGCACAACTTCATATGGTGAATAATATGTGTACAAATTTTCAGACAAATCCTTCCAATAGTTTCTGAGTAATGGTCCGGACAAAATCTCGTCTACAGACAGACAGACAGACAGACAGACGGACAGACGGACATGGTGATTCCAATATACCCCCCTAAACTTCGTTTGCGGGGGGTATAAAAATAAGTTTCCTAGGGACAATTCAAGTTGCTCTTTATTTTCAACACAGCTGGGTACTTGTAGTAGCCCGCAATCACAGGCACCTGACGTTACTTATTTTTCTTTTAAAGGTACTTGGACACAGATTTGAAGTTGATATTTTCTGTATAATATCACGAATTATATATTTTAATAGCATTTCACACAAAAATTAATTAAATATCTTATTTCATTTAAAAGTTATTAAAAAATTAAATATTTTGGCGAGTTTGATTGACACATTCTTCCACTTTTACAAATTTTAACTTTATTCTTAATCCTTCGGAAAAGTGGCAATCTTGTTGTGTATTAATGAGAAATATTTTAAAAAACTTAAATCCAGAAAAACAATTTTTAGTTGACATGTTAGAAAGCAAAACTTCTTTACAAGTATCGTCATTCCGTTGTGTACAGAGTTTAGCAAATCGAGCACACTTGTGTTATAAAAACAGTTTTTGTAAACAGGGCTAGAGCTCTGTTATTGTTTGGTGTTTACGATTCACCGGGTGCGTTAAATCGCCAAAGTCTGTTCACCACAACTGCACGGACTGACAATAAATTGTGTGTTTGTTTTGCTTTCGAACATGTCTTCTCTGAATTTTCTGGATTATAGTATTAATATTTTTCATTAATACACAACAAGATTTCCACTTTACCTAAGGATTAAGAATAAAGTTAAAATTTGTGAAAGTGCAAGGATGTGTCAATCAAACCCGCCAAAAAATTTTAATTTTTCAATAACTTTTAAATGAAATAAGATATTTAATTAATTTTTGTGTGAAATGCTATGAAAATATATAATTTGTAATATTATACAGAAAAAATGAACTTCAAATCTGTGTCCAAGTACCTTTAATAAAAAAAATATACCCATACCTAATAATAAACGTATGGGTATATTTTTTTATTAAAAGAAAAATAAGTAACGTCAGGTGCCTGTGCCCACAATGTATTGCGGCTCGTTCAGCAGTAGGTAAAGTAAACAGATAGCTAATTTACATGCAAATTTATGCTGACGTCAGAAAATCTAGTGGTCTTGGGCTGTTTAAAGTGTAGATTCAGTTATGTATGATTCAACAGAAGTCGAAATGACGCACTTTACATTATTTGCATAATGTAAAGTATATTGCACTATTGTAAAGTATCCGTATGATAAATGTACCCCCCCCCCCCCCTGAAAAAATAGACATGTTCCCCCAAAGCATTAAGAAAAATAAAACAATCAGAAATGAATAAAATATTTTAAAGATAACGAACAGTTTAAAAATAAAAAAAATATGAATGTAATCAATAACATATTTAGTTCAGAACTCTATATAGTAAATTAAAAAGTAGATGCATTTACTATAATTACATGCATTTTGTACAATAGCACTTGATGTGTACTTAAAACTGCAGAACTAGAACATGAAGAAGATTTTACACTTAAAAGGAATAATTCACCTTCTCTACACTAGTATACGGGGTAAAATACGAGGTAATCTGCCCCTACATACCTAATCCCCTAGTCCTGGGGCAATAAATCTTAAAAAAAAAATTATTATACACACATAATTTTCACAACCAAGCACTTATTTTTATCAGAAAAATACCCAGGAGAACAGATTTTAAACAAGGCAATTTATTACATAATCAATGCAGTCCCCCTAAACACAAGAATTGCCATGAAAAATGTTGGAAGCGGATTTCTCGTCATAAGTATCCATATTTTGTTTGCCAGTTCAAATCTTTTTATAGATAGCAAAGACTGTTTTTAACAGATAAATACATGCCAATATTTTAATCGTATGGAAAAGGAAATGTGCAAGTGCAATCTGATTAAAATCACATCTTTGGAACGCTCCGAAATTCTGATGGTTGCTTTACAGTCCAAGTGTTTTGTAAAATGGAAAAAAATCAACTAAGTACCAGTATCCGTAATTGATGAAACTTTTTAATATTGCTGTTAAAAAAACAAATTGAAACCATGCGAGCCTTAAGGATGCTGTTAATAAGTACATGTACAATATACTTAAAAGGTCACTTGTTTTCAATAAATGGGTTTTAAAATAATTTTAGTAAATAAATAAACGTAGGATATGTCATAATAGTTCTAGAAGGAAAGGTTTGTAACAATATCATTTTTTTTTTGGAAAGGCTCATAATTATAACTGTAAAGTAGATTGATTGTAACGATGTTGTTTTACGTCCAATTCGAGAATAATTTTTTCACTCTCATTAAGACGACACCTTATACTGGTGAAGGATTTCAAATTTAGACCAATACTTGGCCATCGAGCAGTGATGGATCCTTATCGTAACAACACCTGCCGTGATACGGGGCCTCGGTTTTCGAGGTCTCATCCGAAGGACCCGCAAACTTCACTTAAAAATGCCGGGCCGCGGCGCTTGGTGAAGGAAAAATTGCAACCTATTTTTAACGACGTCAGTCGCAGCATTTAATAAATATTGCATGATGGTTATATATTTTGGACAGACTAATTGAAATTCAAACAAAAAAAACCCAGTGTACCTCTCGGGCACCTGTTGTATGACAACCGGTGCTGGTGCCCCTCCCCCTACCACAACTGTCGTGTTGGTGTGATGGGAATGTTGCGGGGGCGGGGCATATCCTTGTGGGGGTGGGGCATATCCATGTTGGGGCGGTGGATATCCTTGTGGTCCGGGGGCATATCCTTGTGGGGGTGGGCCGTAACCCTGTGGGGGCTGGCCGTAACCCTGTTGAGGTGGTGGATAACCTTGAGGGGGTTGATACGGAGGCGGTTTATCCTGAAAACAGAGAAAAATGTTGTCTTAGATTAAAGAAAGGAGGAAGCTATCGATATGAAAGCAGTCCGAAAACTGTAGGAATTAAGAAATATTCCAACAATAATGTGCCTACGAAAATATTTTGCATTGAAATTTCTCTTTTGACAGCCTCCCGCTGTATTCAACATTTCAATAACTGGATTTTTCCTACCTAGTCATTCATCTTGCTTAAATTTTCATATTTTACAGATAAATGGCTATAACTTCATGTCTTCGCTCGGCAACAGGTTAGAGAATATGTACTCAAGTAAAGAAACCTCTTTTAAATCTTTTATGAGTTGTTTTCGATTAAATCTGAAGACTCAATAGTCTTGAAATAAGATAACCATTGCGTGGTAAAATTGAACTCAACTCGTTAATAAGCCATATCAGTTTTCCTATCTCAAGACTATATGCCTCTTCTCATTCGTTTCACGTGATTGCTTTTTAGCTGGTCGCTGCGGCTAGTCCAAAATATCTGACGTTTTCCAGGCTTTTTCACGATTTTGAAAAAGTTACGATTTTGATATTTTATATACTAGATTAACATAAGAATCGGCGCCATTAAGAAAACTGGAAATTCCCCGCCTCTGACAAGAGGCAGCATTCTCGGGTTGATTTTCGATATCTCTGCGATCCAAATTTTTCCATGGCATGTAAAATGCCAAAATCGTAAAAAAAAAAAAAAAAAAAAAAAAAAAGACTGGAAAACATATTAAGATATTTCGGACTACGCTGTGCAGCTTGCAGTACACATACTCAAATATCTTACGCTGTTGATTCTGTTTGTTTTCCTTTTATTTCATTGAATGTGCATTTGTGTTTGTTTTACTTGGTCATGCATTGCCCAGTGCAAATGATATCGAATATCTTTTGGTGCGTAATGAGGTGAAAGAAAACGTGTTTGTTGCACCCTATAGTATATCACGATGACAATGAACTTCAGTGTAAAATCTGCAGCATGCATTGAACCGTGAACATGACTTTTTTTTTTAAATTTATTTTTTAAAGAAAACTTTAAAATGTAATTGGGATTGTTCAAATCTTACAGACAAGCAGTTTTTGTATATTCAAAATTTCTTTTCATTTTTTTAAAAATCTATCCTATATGTATTCGTAAATTGTTTCCAAAATGATTTACTCATTAGTTTGAAAAATATTCTTTTCTTAAATATTGAAAAAAAAATTAAATGTTAATCTGAATTTTCTTGATATGTTTTGATAGGTATTTATGTGTTGTATTTTTGAACAGTAAATTAAAATATGAAGCATCGTACTCTTTAATAATTCAACATTTACATTTTCATTTAAAAACACACACACACACAAAATCAAATAAAATATAAAAACAAATATCACTCTTTTCATGCTGAAAACATACATCGATTTTTCCAAAAAAAAAAAAAAAAAGTATAGATCTTTTTCTTGTCGTAAAAAAGATCCATGTGACTAAAAAAAATCTGTGTGAACATGCTACACAAGAATTTACAAATACGAGTATTAGTACTACTTCATTTGACAAGATAAATATTGTAATCATTGTAAATCATAAAAAAACCCATCGAGGTGATTCAAATTTAAGAATATATATACATGTAACACTAAATACATGTAACACTAAATATACGCGAAAATACTTACAGACATATCTCTGTTTTGTTATCTACAAAGAAATTAAATTAATACATTTGATTGATTTCGTAGAACATGAAGTTAAGAATTATGAAAAGACATGTTAGTACATGTATGTGCTTATACATGTTTATGCTTTAATAATGTGCACTTCTGCAAAATGATATTTTGTGTGCAATAATCAATTATCCCATTATCATGATTATGCAAAATTTATTCAAGAATGCAAACTGAATTGCAATGATCCGAATAAAATACGATGGCCGATATAAGTCTAAAATATAATAACATGGCTTATAGTTTTTTAAATAAAAAATATATAAATAAAATTTTAAAAACCTGACTCTTATAATGATAATAAAATGTCCAAGTACATTACGTTTGAGGTGTACATGTATACAGACAAAGAATTCTACTCCAAATATATAATTATATTTAAAAAATCATAATTAATCTTTTCATAGGTGGATCTCGATTGACAACCCCTTAAAATATTTAACCCTTAGGCTTGCTGGACATTTTTTCACCGATTACATTTATTACATCTTTTTTTCATTTACTTGAATTTTCATGCATAGAATTTACTATAAACACCCATGGATGTAAGCCAATGTCTGTTCACTTCTCTACATAGAATTCGAATAATATGGACCTACGAAAATAACAAGTATTATCATTAATACCGCTGAAACACAATTATATATAATACTGTAAAAACTGGAATTGAACATATACCAATTAAAATTAATTATCTTTAAGACATACTGAAATCGGCCACGTAATAAAAACAATTCAATTCGTTTAGTGTAATATGCATATTTTTTAATCGATTCCTTGCAATACATCCGGTTTCGGTATCTTTTCTGGGAATCACATTCATGTTATCAGAAAACGGGGACCAGACGCGGTAGGCGACATATCAGCATTATACACGGGGTATCAATATTCAGAACAAGACAAAAGCAACTTTAAAAAGTGTTTATCCCCAAAAATTGAAAGAAATATATAGGTTTAAAAAAGAACTACTAAACCACCTACACGATTTTTCTTTTTCTTCCTGAATTCAGAGATCCACCTTACTACAACAAAGAGTAGACAAGGAAAGGCAGTCAATAAATGAAATTTTAAAATGTTCATTTTAAAATAATGTCAGTAAAAGATTATTCATCAAAAGAGTAGGGAACCGCAACCAACCCCCTTTCCGTAATACACTGAGGCCTGCGTAACGTTATACATGTATTTAATTGTATAGAAACACCTAAAAATGACAAATAGTGCGTCTGGCCCCCGTGCTTACAATAATTTTTCTCTTATCAACCTCTTTTATATATTCCGTCCAAGAATTTGGCCTAATTGAAATTGTGTATCCTCTATAACCAGTCCACTGATGACATCCACTATACTTGACTTCCGCACTATTCCCCGTCCCTTCAAAACTAGCCACAGTACCTACCTAATTAAAACAAAATATCAATCCAAGGATACCGACATAAGCCGGAGACTCTTTTTGGTTAGTCTTATAGGTATATGGGCATCACTATACTCACTATTTTAAATGTCTCGTATACACCTACCTGTCTAAATCAATTCTTGTGGCAAGATAAACATGAAAAGGTGAAAAGTTTTAACTGATAATGCATGCGACTTTTGCCTGGATGTTATTATTATTATGTAATATACTGAGATATCGACCGGCGATTGTTTGAATACAAATTATTATAAACAGGTAAAAGGCCTGGAATTTACCTGCATGCTTTTCCAAGGTACACAGGACCTGGCATTGCTAACTCAACAAAAAGTACATTTTATATCATGATCTTACCTAGACCGTAGACGATATATAATAGCTTCTTTTTAAATTATTTCCTCTTTGTTTAAATCCTTAACTGTAGTCATGTTCACGTGGTTTGTAAACGGGGCTTACTAAGATCTATGGAAGCCCATTGAAATGTTAATTGTCGACGAAACCTGGTGCTAGCTCCGGTTTTTATCTCTTCAACTTGAACGAGGGTCATTCAAAAGATACGTAGACAATGTTCCTCCTCCACATACAAATTTTACAAGATTACAGATCGACATATTTTCTAATAAATAAAAAAAACTAGAAATATGTCCATAGGACATGAATGCCCCGCCGAGGATATATTAGTAAAGCAACATGAAAATTTGTATGTGTATAAAATTTGATCAGAATATCTTGAATAGTGTGGCAGCTGAATTGCTTGTTTGGAAAATATAGGTCAGATCCAGCATCCGAAGCAAGTCTGATAGTGTCCATCCCTAGATGCATCATCCATGCAAGTTTGGTCGAAGTAGGGCTTATAGTTCCTTAGGAATGAACCTGCTCCATTAACTTTAACCTGGTCACCCATCTGGAAAATGTAGGTCAGATCCAGCATCCGAAGCAAGTCTGGTAGTGTTCATCCCTAGATGCATCATCCGTTCAAGTTTGGTTTGGGTAGGGCTTATAGTTCCTTGGAAATGGACCTGTTCCAAAAACTTTAACCTGGTCACTCATCTGGAAAATGTACCGGTAGGTCAGATCCAGCATCCCAAGCAAGTCTGGTAGTGTTCATCCAGAGATGCATCATCCGTGCAAGTTTGTATCAACATGTGGAGTTTGATAACACCATCTTGAATGGTATGTTTAAAACTGAGCTAAACACTAATTTAAGAAAAGTGAGGTCAAGGTCAAAGGAAAGGTCAAGGTCATAAAATGTTGATGCAGTTGCATAGCTCTCATCAATATCTATCAGCATATGAAGTTTGATGAAAATATCTTTGATAGTATCTTTGAAACTTAGCTTTGAACAGAGCTAAACGCAAAGTGTGACGGAAGGACAGAAGGACAGAAGGACGGAAGACGGACATGTCAAACACTATATGCCCCGGCCATATTCATGGCGGGGCATAAAAACATTTATCTTATCGATGTGTGACGTTTCATTGCATTTGATTAAAATGGAACTCATGTTAGCCAGTTTTAAAATCAGATGTATAACTGGCTTACTGTTATGGAGCACAGATTTGAATTTGAGAAAATAAGTTTTGTTGTGTTTTGATGAAAATATTAATATCAATTCTCTGTAATTATCAAAATTGGTTGGCCACGCATAGAAAAACATTTTGATTTTTTTATAATAATTTTAAACAGCTATGTCATTAATTGTAAAATCTAAAGTGTGTTTATGAAATAGATCCTTGGTTGCCATAGAAACGGGGTGCAAAATTCTCAATTTCGTTAATTTTGAAAAACGTGTACTTATCAAGAAAAACTGTGTTCAAAAAATGAAAAGGGATAACTTAATATGTTTTCATTATTTAAATTTAATCCTACAGATTCAAGTAATTATATCTGTAGTTTTAATTTAATCTCTCAATAGTAAATGGCCATTTTACATATTATAACATATCAGATATGTGATTGGTTTAGTGGAGTTTTTGGAGGCTTAAAACAAAAAAGGCACACTGATTACAAATTTAGTAATAATTAATTATGAAAGGCTGATATTTAATTATATCAAAATATGTAAAATATTGGTGGGAGACTCAAAGATGTAAAAGGAATTCAAAGGTAAAGATTACTTTTTTTTACATTTTGAAGCATTTTTTGCTTCCCAATTACTTCCCTTGAACTACTCTCTAACGTTTGGAGGTACAATGTGTATTTAGTAAACAGCAATGAACATTTTCTGGCGAAAGATACAGTCTGGAAGAAGAAAAGAAGGCTAGACATCTTAAACAATGAAGACAGAAGGTAAATTTATGTATATACTGAGCATTACAAAAATATCAAGATTAACAAATGCATATTTTCTTAATTTTATTTGCCTTACAATACACAATTGTTTTACCGGTAGTGGTCAGTGGTCCTTATCAAATTAAGCGAGCTATACCTTTTGACAGTTTGACTTTCTGACCAATGAATTAATTATTTTTATTAATAAAAATGAATTTGAAGCATATAAACATCATTTTCTGATACAGCTGAACCCCCCCCCCCCCCCGAAATATAAATGTCTGTATAGAGATTGTATAAAATCTGTGCCATTCAGTAGGTTTACTTTTTATGATGTGCTGAGAGAGACTTTTAAGTGAGCATTATTTATCTTTATAATATAAATTTCCTCTTCTGTCAGTTTTCATTCATTGTTTATCCTATTATTTCAATTCTTTATTGGCATTAGGCACATATTTTACAGAATTGTGTTGTTAAAATATTTAACTACAGCAAGTTTGTTTCTATAAAAAAAAGTGCATCAAACGTTTATAATGTGTGAGCACAAGCATAAAGTAGCTAAGTTTTTTAAATAGTATTCTATATATCAGCAAAATGTGGTCATGGTTCATAAGCAGAAAATAGGAAAACAGCATGTTTGTTTTGATGTCATTGTTTTATTTAATAGCTTCTATCTTTTAAACTTTAAATTTATTAGCTCACCTGAGCTGAAAGCTCAAGTGAGCTTTTCTGATCACATTTTGTCCGGCGTCCGTCTGTCTGTCCGTCTGTCTGTCTGTCTGTAAACTTTTCACATTTTCGACTTCTTCTCAAGAACCGCTGGGCCAATTTCAAGCAAACTTGCCACAAAGTATCGTTGGGTGAAGGGGATTCAAGTTTGTTCAAATGAAGGGCCACGCCCTCATTCAAGGGGAGATAATTGGGAATAAATGAAAATTTGGTGGCATATTTTAAAAATCTTCTTCTCAAGAACCACTGTGCCAGGAAAGATTAAACTTATGGAGAAACATCCTCAGGTAGTGTAGATTCAAGTTTGTTCAAATCATGACCCCCGGGGGTAAGGCGGGGCCAAAATGGCCGACCAAAGTTTTACATAGAAATATATAGGAAAATTCTTTGAAAATCTTCTTCTCAAGAATGACAAAGCCATAATTCATCATATTTATATGGAAGCATGCTCAGGTAGTGTAGATTCAAGTTTGTTCAAATCATGACCCCCCGGGGTAGGGCGGGGCCAAAATGGCCGACCAAAGTTTTACATAGAAATATATAGGAAAATTCTTTAAAAATCTTCTTCTCAAGAATGACAAAGCCATAATTCATCATATATATATGGAAGCATGCTCAGGTAGTGTAGATTCAAGTTTGTTCAAATCATGACCCCGGGGGGTAGGGCGGGGCCAAAATGGCCGACCAAAGTTTTACATAGAAATATATAGGAAAATTCTTTAAAAATCTTCTTCTCAAGAATGACAAAACCATAATTCATCATATTTATATGGAAGCATGCTCAGGTAGTGTAGATTCAAATTTGTTCAAATCACGTCCCCCGGGGCTAGGGCGGGGCCAAAATGGCCGACCAAAGTTTTCAAAGATCATATATAGGAAAATTCTTTAAAAATCATTTTCTAAAAAATAGCAAATCCATGATTGGTCATGGGACTACTTTTGGATTTAAACTTTACAATAAAAAACCATTTTCTACTTTTTCCTACCCTTAGTGCTCAGGTGAGCGATGTGGCCCATGGGCCTCTTGTTATATATCTATCCAAAACTGTACTATATGTATTGACAAAATAGATCTAGGTTAAGAATGCACTGGAAATATTGAGTTATTTTTGTTTATATAGACTCTTATTGGCCTGTGAAGTACCAGTACTGTATAATCTATAGTTCAATTTTGTGTGAATAATAATAATCTTTTCAAATAGCGAACAGTAAAAAATATATATGTACACTTTATATATATGTATTAGTGTTAAAACAAAATTTAACTAGAGGTACTGTTAGCAATGGGCTCACTAAATGATACCCCCTGCCTCCCATATGGTTATAACTGATGACAAATCCATGTTTTACTGTGGCCGGGAAACCCAAAATATGTGTCGAATCAAAAAGTAAAATAGGAGGTGCACAATGGCAATATGTAATAAAGATTCTGTGAAAGGTTCATTAAATTTCACTCATTGCAATGGTATAAGAGGAGTTGCGGATAATAAGAGATGGGTACCCTAAAGCGTAACAGACAGACAGCCGTACAGACAGATGGACGTACAGCTAGACGGACATACCGATTACAGTATACCCTTCCACTTTTCAAGCGGAGGGTATAATAAAACTATATACATGTACATGTAGAATATTCACCTCTGATTTATAATGATATTTGTTTTATACATGTACACACTGACCATGTTTTATAATATTCTAAACAAATTATTTGATACTCAGGCAAATATTCACTACTGGTAAGATGATCACACACATGAACATGTCTGTGTATGAATGAAATGAATTTTCCTTTTGATCATGTTCCTAAGAAAATAATTATTTTCATCATTTTTTCATCAAAGGATTTATCATATAAGATGAATAAAGGAAAAGTAAGACCAGTAAACCAAAACAGGACCAAATAGGCCATGACTGAAGTTCAAGTGCAATCTGCAAGAAAGTAGACAGCCTAGATTTTGTTCTTTTCAAGGTAACCATTCTTAAAATATGAACGTAAATTAAGGACAGATGATACAAACAAAAAATGGATGCCTGGATTGGTATATATTTTTTGGCATAATTTAATTGCAAATTAATGATGCTATTAATAAATTTCTAGAATATTAAGAAATTGTAAACCTTCTGTGATGTTCAAAAGTCTGCCCTCTTGAAACTATCCTTATTAAATTATTTTTTATTCAATTT